AAGAAAAGACCGTGCCAGTGGTGCTGTCGGTATGTGATGATCATGACAATTACGATGAGTGCGCTACTACTCTAACTGGTACTAGTGCTTAGTATCTATATCTATTTCAAATTCAATTTGATTTCATTCAGTATGTCAATACTTCTCCCCTTTTACGGATCCCGGAAGTGGCTGTGGCTAGGCTGAGCACTATTCACAGCCTCACTGAACGATGCAAGGGCCAAGGCCACGTTGATGAATGAGCTGAAACATGGCCTGAGGTCAAGCCTCCCAAAAATCCTAAGAGAGCGGGGCAGGCGGGGCGAGACTACAGCCCTGGAGTAGTTCAAGTTCAAGCTGTTTTGGATGGTAAAGTAGTGATGCATGTCCGGCTATAAATGCTGATGCCAGGTGAGGTTTTCACTCGTAGTGTATACTAACTAGTATTGCAGGTACTAGTAATTAGTACTATGAACAATATAGTAACTCGAATGTATCTAATTGCATCTCATCTCGTTTCATCTCATTTCTCCACCGCCACAACGATCGACACGTGACACCGTGCGTTTCAGGGCCATTCTGAAACAATTTGGACGGCCTGAGCGAATTAACTTGGTTGATTCGTTAACTTGTTGCCAGTGGACTTGGGCTGGAGAGAACTGGCCTGACTAGACCAGACCGGGGGAGGTCAATGTTCTGCCCAGGTGGTGTGGGAGGATAGTTCAAGTTGCCTAGTACAAGGTGGTAGTATATCTGGCTCTATTTTTACCTGGGGTCTTATTATAATATGAAACTAGTAGACGCTCACATGGATAACAATACTCTGTCAAGTATGGATACCTAATAAAATAAGAGAAATATAATAAGAATGCGCTGTAATGAAGGATGGAGTGGGGAGTTCTGCCACTTCATCTCTTTTTCTCTCCCCAAGTCCAGTCCAGTCCAGTCCATCTTCATCTCTCCTTTCCCCCTACCTGCCGCAATTGGCTTCTCTTTCTAGTGGTTGCTTTGCTTCCATTCTCTTATTTCTTATTCTTATTCTTATTTTCATTCTTATTCTTATGACCACTGTTATCCATCCCTATTACCACCACCGCCACACCACACCTCTCCACTCAAGTGTGTGAACCGCCGCGAGGGGCAGCCCATCTCGCCTGCGCTTGTCACAACACCCGCGCCTCTTTACTTGAAACAACCAGTACCACTCGACTGCTGTGTTCTACTAGGCCTCAGCTCTTTCGTCTCTGTGAGATCCTCTCCGATCGGTCTAAATCTATCCAATTTGCCCCCTCCCCCTTCCTCCGTCCTCTTCCAACTCACCCTCATCTCAACCGGAACCACCCCTCTCAGCAACTCTGGAACCATCCAGGGGTCATGTTCACGCTGAACCGGATGATGGATCCGGGTTTGTGTGTGTGCTGCCCTACTCGACTTTGGCTAATCCATTAGCAGCTTCGTGCTTTGGTTCCCGTCTTTTCTTTCTTTCGGATTACCACCCCCCCCTGTCCCTGTCGCATTCCCCCTCCGCCTCCGATCCCGCGCATCCTTCTCCATTGTGTCTCCACCTTACAACAATCGCAAGTCCAAGTCCAAGTCCCAGCGCCAGTGCTTGCCTCCGGAGCGCGAACGCATGTCCGCACACGCGCACGCGCGTCTCGTCTCTTTCTCTTCTGCTACCCCGATTCACCGAGCTTCCTCGCTTTGAGACTCGCCTGCGCCAGACTGCCACAACCGTCGACAAAGCACCGGGAGCTGGATTTGACCTCGAACATACCTTGATCGTTTCAAGATGGAGTCACCGGTGACACATCTGGGAGTCTCCTATGGAGCAGGAGGATATCCCCTTCCCTTGTATGGGCTGTGGAGAGGTAGGATTCTTGTCTTGGAATGTGCTGTTAGGAGGACAACCCATGCTGACCACACTTTAGATCTTGGAGGAAGGCAAAGCATTTGAGCTGTGTATGTACCACGTTGGCCCACTCATCTTCCTCGTCTCAGTCCCCTCCTCTAACATACATGCACCTCCAGCTGGCCAAAGATGGCATATCGATTGTTTCCGTTGCAGCACCTGTAGCACCCTCCTCGACTCCGACGCCCACCTCCTCCTTCTCGGCGACGGTTCCTTGATCTGCAGCAACTGTACCTATAGCTGTAACTCCTGCGGTAACAAGATTGAGGATCTCGCCATCCTCACCGGTGACCAGGCGTTCTGTGCTCAGTGCTTCCGATGCCGCAACTGCAAGAGAAAGATCGAAAACCTTCGCTATGCGCGCACATCACAGGGTATCTTCTGTATGGATTGTCATGAATCGCTCATGCAGCGAAGACGAAAGAAAAAGGCAAATGCAGCCGCCAAAAAACCAGGGGGGCCAGGGACAAAGTATGATAAGTCCCTGCCTTCGTTTGCCCCGAGCATGGAGGAGACTCGCTCCATCGATGAGACGCTCACGGAGGCATTCGCCGAAATCGCTGTGGACAACCGGCCCGATACAGCAGCGTCTGAGCCGGCAGCTGCAGGTAAGGAAACTACAATGCGTGTTAACTTGTTCTTCCTCATTCTTTCTTATGCTTGTTTGCGATTTCGCTTTCGCTTTCCCTTTCGATTTCATCCGCCAAAGGAAATCACGACTAACAATGACCCCTCTTCTGTGCAGACGACAATCTCCTCTCCCTTCCAGCACATATCGTAGCAGTCGTCAGATCAGTTCGCAACGGGATACCACCACCAATGCCGATACTTCAGACACAGGTGGCGAGCTCCTGATCCCTCTCGCATTTGACCCCTCCGCAAGTCAGCGATCCTCGTCCCGCCCACAACCCCAGCTCACCCAGGAGCTGCCTCGTGATTACTTTGGACAGGTTCGTTCTGGTGATTCTTCAGTACGAGCATCCTTCTCCCTGGAGCCTCCCTCTCGTGCATCATCAGAGCACCCTTCCCCTCACATTGCCTACCAAGAGAAAGGATGGGACAAGAGTGAAGAAAACAACCGACCTGATACCGATGGAGTGAATGGCACAGCCAAGTCATTCAGCGCGAGCATGGACGCTACCATCTCAAAGATCGGACGGACAGAGTCAGCCCGCAGCTCTCGATCGGATCTGCCGCTGGCACTGAGAGAGACAAGCGCCTTCTCCGGCGCAACGAGCCCTGACAGTACTAGGTCCAAAGAACCAACAACAGAAATCTCCCGATCCGTGCCCCAGGAACCGGCTGTGCGTCCCTCAAACGAACTCCGTAGACTACACGATCACACCTCCATGGAATCCGCATGTTCCCAGCAGGCGGCCTACCCTCCCAAACGGGGCGATTCTCTTGAAAGCAAGCTCCATTCAATTACCCGGAAGGAGGTCGGTGCATCCCCTGCATCTTCGACTTACGCTGGATCCCCCAAACTGGATGGCTCTCTGGAACAACCGAAACAAAGTATCGACACATCTATCACCACCCCCATCTTGGAGACCCAGCGACAGCTGGATGGCGCAGGCTCGCCATCTATCGCGCGCTACCCCGGAAGTGAGTTCTCAGATAACGACCTACCACCTAGTGATTCCTTCTTTCGCCGCGTCTCCAACTCTGTTCGTCATGGCCGTAGTTTCAGCGAGAAGAGCGTGAGGCTCGGCAAGGAAGGGAGATCCCCAAGATCACCGACTAATACAAATTTAGTCGGACCCGAGCTGGCTAGCCCAACAGCCAGCATTGCCCAGAACGAGGAAATTTCCTGGCTTCGGAACGAACTGCAAAAGGAACGCCAGCGCATCTCCGAAATGGAGAATGCTCTCCGTGCAACCGCAGATGTCAAACAGGTCAACACCGAACTATCAGAGAAGCGATCCACCATGGTTGTCCTTGATGCGCAAAGGGAAATTGTTCTGCGAGAGCTCACTGTACTTACGGACCATATCGAGGCGGAGAAGCGTGGTAACGCCGGCCAACCCTGGACCTGGCCAAGCTTTCCAACCATGTTCTGCGCGAGCTAGCTGAAGCCATTCACAAGCTGAAGGAGTCGTACACCCCTCAAATCGAGGAACTGATTCAAAAGCGTAATGATCTGAATGAAGAACTTGCCAGCATCACCCGGCAGAAGGAGAAGAGCTTCCAAGAGTTCGAACAGCTTTCGTCGAAGAATGCCCAATTGGCCGAGCTCAATAACCAATTGGTCCACCAGATCCAGGAGCTGTACAAGAACAACCCGGAGGGCCACCGCGGACCGAACGGACTGGGTATCTCTCATAACAAGGGTGGATCAATCCCATCCATTGAGCATATCAAGCCGTCTTTCCATGATTTCCCCACCTCCGTATCTACCGCGCACATTGGTGATGAGGGTGAGCCTGCAACTGCGACGGTTGTCCCTGGCCCACAGGTGGTTAATATCCGCAAGGGCCAACCGCGCAAGTTTAACTGGAAGAAGGGTGGTCAAAACGTGGCCAAGGGTGTCAAGGGTCTGAAGGGAGCCTTCATGGGTGGTGAGCAGGAAGCTGGTGCTGGTGGTTTGCCTCGCTCTCAGACTCAAGACCCGAGTCGTCAGGGTTTTGGCTTCTTTGGAAACCAGAGGAATAAGCAGGGAGGCAAGATGTCGCAGGCCGACAGTGTGCCCACACTGGCTGAGATTCCAGGCACTAGTGAGTGGATCTTCGTGACCAAAGTGGAATTGGAAATCATTAACGCCAAATCTTTTTTTCTCCAGCGCTTTTCGGAACTGATCTCGAAGCTCGCATGGAGCATGAGAAGAGTATTATTCCAGCCATTGTCACTCGTTGTATCCAAGAAGTCGAACTACGAGGTTTGTCCTTTCCCCTCTCTCTTTGAATCTGCGTGAGATCGTTTTTAACCCCATTCAGGCATGGATATGGAAGGTATTTATCGAAAGTCCGGTGCTGCCTCAGCCATTCAAGGCATTCGGGAAGGTTTCGAACGATCTCCATTTGACTATGATATCTCCGACCCGGACCTTGATATTCACGCGGTGACCTCTGCATTGAAGCAATACTTCCGCAAGCTACCAACCCCACTGATCACCTACGAAGTCTACGATATGATTATTGATTACGCGGAGATCCCCACCACTGCCGCCCGAGTCGAGCATCTCGTTGAGAACCTAAAAGAGCTACCCCGCGTGCACCGTGATGTGCTTGAGTTCCTCATTTTCCATCTGAAGCGTGTGGTGGAGCGACAGGACGAGAACCTAATGACCAGCCAGAACGTAGCCGTCGTCTTTGCGCCCACGATCATGCGGCCAGAGAGTCTAGCCCGTGAAATGACAGATGTGTCGAAGAAGAATGATGTTCTCAAGTTCTTGGTAGAGAATTGTCAGGATATCTTCCAGGGTATGCAGGGCTAATAATCCGTGTGTTTTGCGGTGTTTTTCTTCCGCCAAATCACACTCTTTGCATTCTTGATCCTGACTTATCTTGAATTGGACTGCTTGGATTGGGGTGCTAGGTGTTATTTTGTGAAGTTTTGTGGAAGTTGTTGCAACCTATTCTTATCATCGACGTCTCCAACCCTCCCCCTCCCCCCAACTGTGATGCCTTTCCTCTGTTGGCGCATTTTGTACAGATACCAATCTTCTCTTTGGTCATTTGTCTTCTTTGTTTTATTTTGCGCCCCTTCCTGATATCGATCCTCCCCCTCTACACCCCCTGCTCACGATCAGTATTACCCACTCGATCCAGATACCCTACCCAGCAATGCTTGCCATTCATCACCACGTTTTTGTTCCTGTTCCGTTCTTTTGCGATCGTCTTGTCTTGTCTTGTCTCGTCCGTCCTGTCTTGTCCTTACCATATTCCGCAGGATCGAAGCTAGTCAATTCTCCCCTCGGGCTCTTTCGCCATTGTTCAAAAGCGCAGCGCCTAGTGGTGCCTTTTGTGGATGAATATTCCCCTAATGGAATATCTTTTCATCTCTCATCCTTCCAAGTTCGGATTTTCTTTAAGTTTTGGGGCGGTTCTTGTCTTTTCATGGATGTTTCTTCTGTGTAGATTCATATTAAGTCTTCAGTACCTAGAATCAAGCGTCAGGGTTATACCTTGGCTTGTTGTACTAGTATAGTTCGTCTCCAGAATCTTTCATTATCGCTTTAACTCCGAGTCTTGAACTTCGAAATTTTCAAGCTTGGGATAGGTTCAAACTAACTAGTAGTATCTAATAGTGCTAAATTTGGATGGCCGATGGATTCGGCGAGTCTCACCCATGGATGTTACCTACTTAGGTACCTAGTAATGATGAACTATACACTCTTTGGCTGCCAGTGGTGACCCAGCGGGGGAGTTCTTAGTCAAGTCTGGTTTTGTTTTTTTCCCCAAAAGCTCTTACAGCTAAGAAAATTGAGCCACTGGCACATACCTACTCTTAGTTAGTAGGTAATCTTGTACTCCAGGGCTAGTAGTAGTAATTGAAGGCAATATCTCTGGTGGATATGTGTAACTAGGTATGCTCTGGATGAGTGTCTACTCCGCCGTCTCCACCAATCACGGGGCCGCCTACGCCATCACCCGTTGAACCTCCAAGCTCCTCCCCAATTCCCCCCCCACGTCTTCCATCACCTCTCCGAGCTTCTCTCCACCTCACCACTCCTCAAGTCAGCCCGGAGGGCCACAATCTCTTTTGCTATCTTTCCTCCCCCTATTCGTTTTTTCCACCGCACTACTCCAACCGCAAAAATGTCCAAAGCCGCCCCGAAATACCTCCTACTCTCCCTCCCGACCTCCGTTCGTCCCATCACACCACGCCGACGACGCCCTCGAAGCAATCTCCACCACCGTGTCCGCGGAAAATGGTAGCGCAGCCCGTTTTTCAATCCCCGAATTCAAAATCGGAACCCTAGACGCCCTGGTCCAGCAGGCAGATGAACTGGCCAAGCTCGAGAGCCAGTGCCAGGGTGTTGTTGCCAAGGTTGCGGATGCGCTGAGGAATATTCTTGACGGTGATGAGGCCCAAATTGAGAGGATGATGGTCGTCAACGATAGTGGGTTGATTCCTTTTCTTTCCCGCCGGGTGTGCAGCTGGCAGCTTGCGGCTTGCCAGAGCGGAGCGGAGCGGAGCAAAACAGGTGGCCAGTTCAAGCTAACCATGTGATTGTCATTCTCATTTAGAGCCGGTTGACCAGTATCTTCGCACATTCCAGTGGAATAAGGTCAAGTATCGCGCGGATAAATCGCTTGCGGAGTTGATTGATCTTTTGCACAAGGTATGCCATGTCGAGGAGCACGAGGAATCCAGCCAAACTAGATTGGGAGGGGACAATTCAATTATATCTGAACGGACAAGGAGATTGGAGATACATATACTGACTGGATCGGGACATATGTATAGGAAGGCGCCAGTATCGACAATGACATCCGCTTCAAATACTCGCAATATAACCAGGTCAAGAACACGCTGGCAACCCTGCAACGCAAACAAACGTGTGTACCCCCCTAGCCTGCCTCTCCGCCGCGCTATACAAGCTCTATTAAGCTCGATGGAAGTTGCTTGCGAATGCCATATCGCAATACAACCCAACCCAAGCTAACCCAGCTATTCCGCAGAGGAAACCTCTCCACAAAATCTCTTGCCTCAATTGTCGATCCCCGCACCGTCGTTCAAGACTCAGAGTACATCGAAACCCACTTGATCGCCGTCCCCAACTCCCAAGAGAAAGAGTTCCTAAAGAACTACGAGACCGTGGCGCCGATGGTTGTCCCGCGCTCTGCGTCACTAGTCGCCTCTGACAACGAGTTCACCCTGTACGCCGTGACTACGTTCAAAAAGCACAGCGTGGAATTTGTGCACAAGGCGCGCGAGAATAAGTGGATCCCCCGTGACTTCAAGTACGTGGAGGGCGGCAAGGAAGAAGAGCGGAAAGAGGTTGAGCGTGTTGGTGGTGATGAGCGCAAGGTTTGGGGCGAGACCCTTCGCCTTGGCAGGACGGCTTGGAGTGAGGCCGTTATGGTTTGGATCCATGTCCTTGTTCTCCGGGTCTTTGTTGAGACTGTGCTGCGGTATGGACTGCCTTTGGACTTTGTTTCTGCGCTGGTTAGGGTATGTTTCTCCGTCTCCCATTTTCTCCCGCGTTCAACTGCGCTGCGGCGGCTTCCGCTGCAGTGCGCGCCTGCCAAGCCCAACTAACTCATCAATTAGACCCCCTCTTCCAAGCAAGCGGATAAAGCAAAGAAGAACCTTGACGACAAGTACTCCTACCTCGCTGGCAATGCCTTCGGTCGCGACAAGAAGGGCCGCGTGCAGCGGGATGACCCGCAAGACATGCATGGTGCAGGCGAGGGCAGCGCGGAGTACACACCGTATGTGTTCTACGAATTTGAATTCAATTGAGCAGCCTGGCTGGTCGGAGTATGAGATTGGGATGAGGGCAGGCCCGCTCACGTTTTTTCTCTTGCTTGGCTTTGGTTTTGGCCTAGGCCTTTGCTTTCGGGATCTTCGATTGTTGTGGAGATCGATCGTTGCGTACATATACCACACCGAGGTACATCGAGCACAAACTAGCATTTATTTTTATGTATTTTGTTTCAATTCTATTTTTGGGGGTTCCAAGGTTTTTTGTTTTTGCATCTTCAAGTTCAAGTTGTGCTTGGTATACTAATACAGATCTGCGCAGCTTCACCTCTATGTTGAAGACTAGGACTATCCTACATAGATGTTCCATCACCCCCCAAATAACTCATCACAAGATAACTCGCAACCAGGATCGCCAGTAGCGTAGGATGCCCAGGTGATTATACGAATCATACACAGCAAGCAAAAGATTGAATGACACCTGAGCCGCCAATCCATAGGACGCGGAGGAATTCAGTCTATACTACTAGCATTCTTTCTAAATCGAGGGCTCAAGCCTACATTCCCGGGCTCCTTACCTGGCGTCTGCCATGTAGCACCACCTAGATATCATTAGCTTGATGATGTCGATCTGCCCTTTTCGAGAGCCGCTCACATTGTCATCCAAGGCTTAAATTGCTGGTAATTCAGGACTATCAGAAAGCTCTATCGTCAGGTTACATTTTCCCACAGCTTCTCAGTATATTAGAACGCGCAAAATAACTTCTCGTTTCACCCTTCGTCTAATATTTCCTCATCTCTCCAAGCCACTCCCAATCAATCCATCCATCCATCCATTCTCCACCATGAAGACTTCCGTCATTCAAGTTCTCCTCGCATTGGCCATGGTCGCCGTGGCCCGCCCTGACAAGCCCTGCGATAGCTGTGAGCCCAAGACGGACGCCGAGACTGGCAAAATGTGTGCCAGCAATGAGACCATTGTTTGCACCGGCAATGGCGGCAGTGGTCTGATCACTCTGGGTAATGTCTTGCCAGGCGCTCTCGGAGAGAGCTGTGCCGCTGGCGACGTCTACTGCTGCGATCACGATGCCACTTCGGATGTATGGCCCCTTTACCCGTTTTGTTGAAAAATACTAGAATATGCGATAACTGACGAATAATTTGATAGGGCAACCTGGTTAACTTGGATGTTAATGCTCAATGCTCGCTCAACCACGTTCTATAAGCGGGTCTATACTTGCATTGGCTCGAATGGACAATATGGCGTATGGACTAAGCTTCTTTCGATTTCCGGAGGCCCTTGACGTTAGGGTTGGTCTGATGAAGGCACTGCGGTGCCATTAGACGCTGATGGATATTGAGGGGAATGTTGAATGCTTTATGTGGTGCGGACGAAGAGAAGTGAGCTTGTACTAGTAGCAGCTAACTAATGGCTATGAACTTGAGGTTATAGATAACATTGGAACTTGAAAGAATAAGGTACTACTACTAGTACCCAGATGTAAGATTCATGAATAGTATTACTACTACCTAGGTAGGAGTAGTCGTAGTAGTGTATTGAGAGTGATCAATGATCAATCACCATTGACGACTTCCAAGGCTAAAGTTCTCAATCTACCGAGGTACTACCTAGCTACCTAGTACAGCCCTAGAGTACTACGAGTACGACTACTAGTAATCATCATTCATTACCTAGGTATTTCAAGTTCTTTCAGAGCAATGTTTCAAAGCAATCTATCTTCGATATATACAGCGCCAGTCTGCGGGGAATCTAAGAAGAAGAAAGGCTTCACCTCAACATTGATAACACTGTACATTCTCACAAACACAATTCTTTTGTCCCCCATATACCATGCATGCAATCCAGATCCACATACCACCCTTACTCCTTCTTAGGAGGCAGATATCCCTTAGAATCGAGGTAGTTGATAATCTGATCAACAGCCTCCTGCAACGAGATATCAACATTCTTAACATGCACCTCAGGGTTGGCAGGCGCCTCATAAGGCGCACTAATACCAGTGAACTCCTTGATAATACCCTCACGCGCCTTCTTGTACAGACCCTTGGGGTCGCGCTGCTCAGCAACCTCAACGGGGACGTCAACGTAGACCTCGACGAAGGGCAGACCGGCAGTCTCGCCGGGGGTGGGAGTCTCGTGCAGGGCGCGCGCAGAGTCACGGTCCTTCTGGTAGGGCGAGATAAACGAGGTGATGGCGATGGAGGCCGAGTCGGCGAAGAGCTTGGCGACCTCGCCGATGCGGCGGATGTTCTCGTTGCGGTCGGCCTCGCTGAAGCCGAGGTCCTTGTTCAGGCCGAAGCGGATGTTGTCGCCGTCCAGACGGTAGGCGTGCACGTTACGGGTGCGGAGGAGTTGGCGCTCGAGCTCGACGGCAATGGTGGACTTGCCGGAGGCTGAGAGGCCGGTCAGCCAGATTGTGAGACCGCGCTGGTTGCGCTCGGTCTCGCGCTCGGTGCGGGTTAGGCCGGCGGCGTGGAAGGTGATGTTGCTGGGTGGTGTTAGTGAGGTTCGTTTTGGTGTAGATGGAGTACTGATTGAGGACATACGTAGCCATTGTGAGGGATGTGTGAGTGATAGAGAATTGGAAGGGAGAAGAAAAGAAGGCAAAGGAGGGGGATATTGGGAGTGGAAGTGGAAGTGGAGGGGCATGAAACTGGGCCGCGTCAAGCGGGACGCCGATCGCGGGATTGCGCAATACAAAGTGGATATCATTTTCTTACTTCAGGGCTCTAGTCGACCATGGTTAATTACTCTGGACTCTATTTTCATAGTAAACTTCATAAATGCTCCTAATCTACATGCTATACACACAATAACGATAGAAAATACAAAGAATAAAAGAGGCAAAAAAGAATGAGCCTAACCGCAGATTTAGTCAGTAGCCCCGCGGTACAGATGCGCCATAGCCTATTGACATGAAGAATTCAGATTAGCATTCGCCACTTACACCGCCACCAGGGGAAGAAATTGGAGGCAACAGAATGGATCAAGGAACAAGGAACAGATATCACTTACCGCCGCCTGTTTAGGCTCAATGAACAACGCCTTCGCCTCAACCAGCACAATAGGCTCACTCCCATCTTCAGGAAGAGTCTCAATGCGGCCCTCAACCCACGCCTTTCTCCCCTCCTGACGAACCGTCTCCGCTCTGAGCGCAAAGTAATTATTTGCTAGCGCGGGCGCCCGGTAGTCGATATTCAGACTCGCCGTCACGCCAACCTTGTTCGGCATTGCGGGAAAGCAGCAGCGCGCAAAGCCCTCATCTAGCAATGTAGCCAATAGTCCACCGTGAACAATACCCTGGTGTCCGCACACGTCAGATCCAAGATACATCAGGCTGACCATGCTCTTGCCGCCGCGTTCACTGAAGACGTAGGGTGGCACGACGATCTTGTTCGGTCCGGAGAGGGCGCCTGCTGTGAGCATGCGCTCGCGCATGGGCTCGGGGATGTTCAGATGGGGGCGAGCTTCTTTGAAGTCTGGATTGGCGCGTAGGCGCTCGGCTTCGGGGCGTGTGCGGGTTTTCTCGTTGATCTCGAAGGCGACGTCGTCTACTGGCGTATAGACGGGGAGACCGTCGGCGGTCGCGGGTGGTGCGGCCATGAGGTGCGAGATTGTTTTGCTTGTTTGGTAAGTTAGGCCTGCAGTGAAGGCTAGGATGGCGATGGTCGTGAAGCCTGCAATTCGGCGGAGGCGCGATCGGGGAGGAGGGGGAGGAGGTGGTGGTGATGGGTGAACGGGGGCGGTTGGTTCTGCGATTGACAATGCATCAGTGAGGCTGTTATCGGTGGAGATCGGTGGATCAATTGAGAGGGACCCTTGGACCCTTGAGGATGCGATATAGAAACCAGATATGCCTCATCTTACCTGTAGAGTAGGTCCGTCGAGTAAACGGTTGTCCGAGGCGTCGCGGAGATGTTCCCGGGAGACGTTGAGTTAGGAGGCGCGAGGAAGTGAAAGGCTTGGATCGCGGGAGGAGGTAGGAAGAAAAGAGTGAAGAAGGTGGATGCGGCATTGTTCCAGAACGATCTTAGATTTGGAAGACCCTCACTGGTAAGTTGTTGAGAGGCAAAGGTTGAGAAGGGAAAGAGTGGACCACCAGAGTTTACCTCGGCATCTCCATAGGAGCCCGGCGGAACGGACTCGGACTCGGACTCAGCCCGGTAGAAGTACGGAGGAAGGTTGCCACCATTAAGATTCAAGTTTTATTTAGCTGAACTCCCTGAATGATTACAAGAGGAGTTTAAGCTGTACTCTAGGGCTTGCATAATCAGTTCTACCGGTTATCGATAGAAGCTACTAGTAGTTGTTAGTAGTACTCAGGCTGCACGAGCATAGATCACCGGCATATCCATGCATACCTGGGTATTTTTGATTACACGTCTATTAAATTGAACCATCCCAGGCAACCGCCAAGAAGACACACCGGTGAGAAATATGCAAAGACTTATTCATTATACAAACCTGGAATGCATAAAACAGAACAGATGCGACCTTGAGGCTCATTTGATAAAGTAAGTTTCCCGCTGGTACCGGTTTGTGGCTTATCATGACAAAAGCCCTGGAGGCTATTTCAACCCGGACCTCGGAATTCAAATTCAAGAAGTCTATTAGAATATCAAATATCTTTTGCAATTATAATTTTATATACATATCCATCCCAATTAGTCGTAAAATATTAAAAATAAATGTCCCGTGGATGTGGCCACGCCAACCTTGGAACAACCCCTACTTAGACTCGGACTTGCCGCGACGGTTGATTTTCTTAGTGGAGCTAGGCATTTTAGTTAGCGGGTATCAAAACCAAGCATAAAAGATTGATCTTACTGTCGCGAGAACCATCTGAAGCGGCTAGAGGAGCTTGGTGCAACTGCAACTTGCTCTTGGGAGTTCTTCATGGATTGGAAAATATCTTCGATTTCCGCAGCATCGAGCTTGGGAGTCTCGGTTGTGCTGGAGTAGGGTGATCTGCTGCTGGTGCCGTAGGGACCAGCGCCGACGTGAGGGAAAGCGACCATTGTAGATTTGAGAGTGGGGGTTTGGGTTGGTTTGGTTTGTGAGTGGAGTAGACCAGAATTGGTGCTGGTAATAGAGGGAGGAAGTAAATTGAAATGAATTGATGTTGATGATATTTGAATTTCCTGGTGATTGAGGAGTCTTTTATCTTGATCCTGTTCATTTCCCTAATATCCTTCTGGTTAGATCTTCTGCTAATTTTCTGTTCCTTTTGCTGGCCATGGGGAGACCGAAAATAACAACTCGGCACAGCAAAGCCGAGGGAAGCTAATGCTAGCTACAGGCACAGCCCCTAAAGCTGGCCTAAAGTTGGCCTGGACTTGGCCACCGCTCTAATCTAGCCCAATCACCTGATCACCCTATCACAGAAAAATTTCCTGGTATCCCGATTCTTGGCCATAGCTAGGCTGGTTTAGTTAGGCTATCGTAGTTTTCTATGCGTGATTTTAATCAAACGCCCGGGCGTGCTTCAACTATTCAGAAAATATCTCCGCGGAGAAGGAGCTCTTTTTTCGTTGATCACCTGGGCACGAAATCTGAATTTTGTTTAGCATAGATATTATGCTGCAATATCACCACGGATGTAGTTGGCTGTGATTCAACTTGAAATACATTATCCGTCCTTCGTATTGCATCTATCGTACTCTTCCATCCTTCGCAAGTTCATCTGCAGAATAGCCCTTGAGTTTATGCAAATAAGTACCGAAACGCCCAGAAATTTCAATCACATCCTTGAGATGTTCATAAGTGAGCTCCCTGTTCTGCCATTTGGCATACTGGCGCGCAGTAGTAATCACATTCCTGATCTGTCGGCCATTCAGCTCTTCATGCTTGAGGACACCCAGATTCTCTCGAAGATTGACCACATCAATCTTCTCCTCCATTTCTTCTGTCCGATCCCCGAAGAGCTCGTCAAGCCGATCGATGAAAAGTTCCCAGATCTTGAGTCGTTGATGTGTTTTAAGTTCCGGGTAATGAAGCGCAAGTTGGATGCGGGATATGAAAGCCTCATCGAAGGTTCCGACTCGATTACTTGTCAATATGAGAATTCCTTCATAATATTCAAGAACCCGAAGGAAAACGGAGACGAGTGCATTGCGCTGCAGGTCTTCTAGACTTCGTTGTTCGAGGAAGACATCTGCCTCGTCTAGGAGCACCACACAGTCCCAGATACGTCCCAGATGAAGGACGGACTTGAGGTATTTCTCCACATCCTCGGCCTTGGTACCCACATCTCCACACGTTACTCGATAAAGAGGTTTCTTGGCAATTTCCGCAACCCCTTCAGCTGTCAGAGTCTTGCCAGTTCCAGGTCCGCCGTGAAATAAGAGAATAAGACCATTTCCCTTGCCGCTGATTAGGTCTGTCGATTTTTCCGATTCAAGCTGGCTGACCACTAATGCTTCGATGAGGCTTTTTGCCTTGGGCTCGATAACCAGACTATGGAATGCTTCCCGATTCCACTTGACGTCAAAAATGCGATCGACAGCAAGATCATGCCAAGCCTTTTGTCTGAGGTTATATCCTTTGATGATAGGTGGCATGAGATATTTGAATCGATCGTCATTATCCATCACATCCAAGCCCAGATCATTGTCGACGGTGCTACGTAAACCAGCATTATTGGGGTGAAGAGTACGAAATGTACGCATGTCAATCATGTATCGATCATCCGACTGACACAATTAGCTTTCTTTCAATCTTTCAAATAAATGGATCTGGTCGGGGCTTACTTACCACCTCTCGAAACCGATCGCTATCATCAGGCTGATAGCATACCAGACCCTTTGTACGACACTTGAGATATGTCGAAGCTCGCCGTTCAAGCCTTTTGATAATCGCCTCCGGGGCAAATCTTAGAGGGAAGACGTCCAATTCGGTGATGGATTTTACGTCATGCAGATTGATTTGTAGAGAGCTCACTTGCGGTTCGCGTAGAATTTCAATCGTCAAACGTTCTGATTTCCAGAAAAATGTTCCGTCAAATTGTAAAGTTTCTCCAGAGCACGTCCAACTATATTTGGTGCGGTGCTGTGGTGACCCGGTATTATGCGCGAGGTCAACAATGGCCGGTTTGACTTCGAGGTCCCCCAAGTTGAAGGTTGGCATTGGGGCTTTCCCATTGAGCCTTGCAACTAACCAGCTTTGGGTTATGAAACCGGTGTACTCATCTTGGGTCTTCCGGACAAGTATGTCTCCTGGTTTGACAAGGTATTTGACGCATTCGGGTAGAATTTGACCCTTAGATAAGAGATCATCTGCTAAGCGATACTCGTCTCCGAAAGCATGGTCCACGTACTGGAGAAAAAGGTCGAGTTGATCTCGAGCTTTTGTAGAAAGCATGGCCCGCATATTTTTCATGTCATCACGGCTATGATAAATAAAAAGATATGGTGCAGCAAGTTCATCGCTGTCTTGATAGTCATCAAGATCTTCTTTGAACTCTGGCTTTCTACCGAGGAGAGTCTTCAGGACACCCTTCAAGTTCTCATGCACTGGATAAATTGTTTCAGAAACTGGACTTGGAAGATGTGTTGACTGGCTAGAGTCGGGGAGATGGCGCCTTTTTGTCGAGTGAGGCGGTAATTTTCTTGGATACTGACGGTATACCACGAAGGAAATGTCTTGGTTCTTCATGAGGTGAGTTTCCAAATTTTTGACTGGCATCCTGCAGCGTAAATGAGCTTCACCCTGTTGGCTATAAGAGATCTCGGGTTCATCCTCGAAGAAGTTCTCCTCAGAAGACCAGTCAACTTCCTCGTCGCTTTGAAGGCGATAAAGAACCTGGTATCTAAAGGGGCCTGATCTGGGATTGACCGAACTTGAGCCCTGAAGCTTTGATTCAAGATCAGCGACATGGGCACGCAGTCTTGAAAGTTCATCAGAAGTATTTGTAATTTCACCGGTATTTACAATGTCTACTTGGGAATTCTCAGCAACTTTGGGCCCCGAGAGGCTTGGACTCCCGTGAGACATTTTTGCGGGTTTAAAGCCGGATCCATATGTGTCATCATAGGAAGACATCGTGAAGTTGGGGTTATAGGACTGAGGGAGTTGTAGCAGCTGATCATACGGTTGTGGCGAAACATTTTGTTGGTGATCCACCACGTGGTCACCATCTGGCAACCTATGAGCTCTGCCCTCATATTGCTGCGACTTGGAGGTTTGGGCTTGTTGGGACTGATTGACTTGGAATTGCTTGGCTTGTTCTACTGCATGCTGTTGCTGTTGCTGTTGCTGTTGCTGTTGCAGGCCCCCCCTCCACTATTGGGATAGTTGCTGTAATGGCTCAGAAAATGTCTATGCTTTATGATATTGAGCATCAGGAATGGGCGAGAAAGGCAAAGCTTACTGGGTTCTTGCGGGTTTGATGATGATGCGAAAATATCATCATCAACCGAGTTAGGGAAAGGGAGATTCTAGGTATGAATTAGTTTTCTGGTCAATACACGTGGGCTTACCGAGCAGGACACGGCCATAAGACCAGCAATCCCAATGCCAGACTATCCTACTCACCCTGATCCGACTCATGCTCATTTCGCCTTTTTCTGAGGCAACGGCAATCAATTTTCTCTTCTTGATAGCGCTACCTTCACTGTGATCATCCGATATCGTTATATTGTTGTATGGCGGCGTGTCTGCTTCATTTTGATCACTGGTCTCATATTCTATAGAACCGGGAAGAAGGTGGTCCGGGACCGCCTTGTTCTCGGAGGACCGCCGCTCAAGCAATTCATTACTTTCTGCGCTAAGTGGAGGGGGAGGAGGGGCATTCGATTTGACGGGGGCATTTCATTTGATCGAATAGATCAGCACAAAATTGGCGTCTTGATAATGAAGGTTGGAAAAGTGAGGTCGGCCTAGTCAGCTTGAAATGCGCAGAAGTTGCTTTTTGCATTCGCACCAGTGCCCAACCATTGTCAGGTGATCAGGGGGCTGAGCTGCTGGCTTCAAGTTCGCCTCGATCTCTCACCGTCAGTTTTCGGGTGTTCACACGATCGATTTCGCTGTTCCAGACCGTCCTCAGCGAGCATGAACTCGCATCGGTCGCGATAAGAAACGGGTTGTTGTTTTGAAAGCAGTCATGTCAAGCGATTTGCCAACTACAGCACTTAGCCATTTGTATAACGAAGATCGGTGAGAAGAAAGCGTTTTGTCGACTTAGAGGACGCGATGAATATTAACTAATGAACTCCCATACAGAAGTTTTAAGAACGTTGAGGCGGTGTTTCAATACGTTAAATCTCAATTTGAAGTGCAAGGAACCAAAGATCCGAAAAAGAAAGCCCGTCTTCAAGTCCTCCAGGCGACGACCGCGAACGACCTACTAAGCGCCGTACAAGATGCCCAGGAATATTACCATCAGAGGCAATCCGAGTCAGCATTAGGGCGTCGCATAACGCAGTTCTCGGAGAGGGTCCACCATTATGGCAAGATCATGGATGTTCTTGTATCACATCATCCGGAGTATGTCTCCTTGGCATGGGGCGCTATGAAACTTTTGTTCGGGGTGAGTGAGGGCCGAAGAATCGGGTTATTTGTGGTCTTATGCTAATTGAGACCTCGGGATTGACATCTAGGCTGTCGTGGAGCACAAGAATATCGGACTTGCAATTACAAACGGCCTGATAGACGTCGCAGATGCCCTTTCTTGTGCAGAACTTGCCGCATCACTATACCCGACCGCATCAATAATCTCAACATTTGCCAATTTATATACGCATATTATTCGGTTTCTGCTACGTGCCTTGGAATGGTGCGAAGAGGGGTCATTGAAAAGATTAATCCATTCAGTGACCAGGCCTGTTCCTCTACGATACAGCGACATAATCAACGACATAAATCGAACCGCTGCCTCAATCGCTGCCCATGCAACAACAAGCAGCCAGGCCGAACAACGCGATATACATCATGAAGTTTTCGCTACTCGGAAATTGATTGAAGCCAACCAGACATCGAGCTCCACAGATGAAGCAAAGGTTCTGCCGAAGCTACAAGACTT